TGAGACAGATGTCAAAAAATCAATGTGGGGGAAATAAGAGAAAAGAAGCAGTCTAAGAGGATGCACAGCCATGCTCATCTGACCTTGTGAAAAATCTTCTTTTTTCCTGCATCCTTAAGGAAGGGAAATGATCTACATAAATACATTTTCTGGCTACCTGAAATTCTACACCTGCTAGTATCAAAACTCTGGACAGAGGGCTTCTTAAAATGTGTCATACTTCTCTACCTTCCAACAAGGAAACCATCAATTGTCATAATGTCACCATTCCCTCATGAATTCACTACTGTATGCTAAATTGTCTTTTTATAAATGCCCCTACCTTCTTACAAAGTACCCACTGTCATCTCTTTGCCATCAGGACCATATTCCTCTTGTGGCTTGCTACTTGCAGATTTTCTGTAGGCTGAGCAAGCAGGATGTGTTGCCGTCAGAGGCTGAAGGAGCAAGACCTCAAGGTCAGGAATTGGGAAGATTTAGTTCAGGCCAGGACAGCCTTGTCCCCTTGAAGGTTGTAGTCCATAACTCTAAAGTTTTCAAGGGCAAAGAAGGAAAGGAATGAAGGCCTGGGAAGAGAAACTAACTCAAAACCATCAGTTCACCACATGCTTACTAGGAGCCAGCACTGGCCTGGGCACAGCCTACACCTTTTCTCGAGCAACCTACATCCTGAATGGCAAGTGGGGCATCAGTGAGTAGATTAGCAAAGACGTCGACGGCCTTACTAAAAAATGAAAAAAATAGGTCATTTTTAGATACGCTGCCTCTGTACATGTCAGTTTCAGTATTAGATTTATATATCATTTTCTATTACAATAATAGATTATATAGAATTATCTAATTCTATAGGATTATCTATTACAATAATAGATAATAATACAATAATGTCTTGCCAAATATCTATGCTGGAACTACTTGAGCTTTAAAATTCCTCAAGAAAATGACAATTGCCAAGATCCAAATTTGGTATACTGCCTACACACTTGAAGAAAATAAGGACCTTCTGGGTTGGTGAATGCATGGAGATTGAGGGAGAGTAGCCCACCCAGAGAGGGTATGGAAGCTCTGCTCCCTTTCCCCACACCTCTCCCTGTGCATCTCTCCCATTTGACTAAAAAGAAAGTAAAAAAAAAAATGGTTTTCTACAAGGAATTTTCTTCTCTCTTGTCCTAAACTAGGTGGATAATTTATATCAATTTATTATAAAATATTGGTAATCTTGATAATCTTTTTTTTAGACACAAGCTGTCTGGATCTTAGAATGCAAAGTTAATGCTCTACGTGGATAGTAAAAATGAAATCACTTTACATTGTTTGCATAACGTTCATCATCTGTCTTCTTCTCTTTGCTTCTTTGCTCTGGTCTTTGCTCCTTCATTACCAAACTTCTCTAAAGAGCAGTGGATATCCCCTTGCCTTCACTTTGTTACCTCTCATTTATTCAGCTCACTGCAATGTGATTTCCAAAACCCAACTCTGCCCTTCAAGGAGAGACAAGACCAGGGGGCTGGAAGTAGGGCACTGGTGACTAAGTGGCTGGAAGTAGGGCACTGGTCACCAAGTGCCCACTGTTGGCATAGAGGAGCCAAAGGGATGAGCTTGAGAGAAAGCTGAGGTCCAGGTCCTGGGAAGACAGAGTTCAGAGCCACGAGGACAAGAGAAAAAGAAGAGAAGCAAATCAGGATGGGGCAGGGTCAGGGCTGGAGACTGGGGGAGAGGCAGGCAGCCACCCTGCCTCTCACCCAAAGTTCACTCAACTTTTCCTTAATAGATAGAGAATTCTCCAAGTTATTATCGTTTTTTTCTTAAATGATTTTGGTAGATTGTGTTTTTCAAGGAATTGGCCCATTTCATCTAAATTGTTGAATTTACAGAGCCCTTATCCTTTTATGTCTGTAAAATCTATAGTGGTATCACCTCTTTCATTTCTGATATTGGTAATCTGTCTTCTCTTTTTCCTTGGTCAGTTTGGCTAGAAGTTCAATTTTATTCAACTCCTCTGCATCTTTTTAAATTTCTAAGTCCAAAGGCCTCTTCTTTAGACTCAAATTATTTGATTTCCCTGCATCATTTGCCAGACTTATGAGTCTGACTTCTGTAAGACTCCTCTCCCTCTCTTCTATTTTGCTTATTATCATTAACAGCTCATTTTCACCTTTCAAAATTCTGCCCTAGGCCTCTGCTTTTTCACTTTAAAATCTCCTCCTCAATTGGACAATCTCCTTTATTTTCATGACCTCCTCCCTCATGAGAGGACCCGTGTTCCCACCTCCCACCTATCCATCTAATGCTATTATTTCTACTCTCAGCTCATGAACCCACCATCCCCACCCCCATACTTGAAAACCCGAGTCACCATTAACTTGTTCTCATCCTTCAGCTTCTCCATCTAGCTGGCAACCAAACTGCACTTTCCCCCTTAAACATTTCCTTGCATCCATGCACCCCCCACCCCCAACTGGATTTCTTTGACTTGTCAGTGCCTGAATTCCAGTTAGGATCGTTTCTGGGCCAGACTGTTCTGTGCTCCTCCCTTATAAGCCACTAACCACACGAAAGTCAGTTATGTTTCACACCTAGCCCATATCATGCCTTTCTTCATCAGTGCTCGCTGCTGGCTCCAGGATAAAGCCTTTTCATTATAATTCTTCCTCTCCACACTGTGAAAAGCAGCCACGCTTGCCTACTGCCTCCTAACAGACATTCCAAGTGCTTTCCTGCCTCCACAGCTTTGCCCCGTCTGTCCCTCTGACTAAACTCTGGCTCATCCTTTCTGACCAGATTCAGAGGCTACCTTCTCTGTGAAGCCTTATTTTAAATTTTTTTTAAAATTGAGACATAGTAACATATAGTAAAATGCACAGGTATTAAGTTGGGTGAGTTTTGGCAACTGCATGTCCCCTAATCAATACACAGAGCACTGCCATTGCCCCAGAATTCCAGTGTGTTCCTCCCAGCTGTAGTCTTCCCTCCACCAGAGGCAACCACTCATCTGCTCTCTATCTGTACAGATTGGCCATTTGCACATCACACAAGAGGAGTCAGTAGTATATGGTCTTTGTTTCTATGTCTGCCTTCTTTCACTCAGCATGAACTGAGATTGATCGGCCCTACTGTGTCTATAAGAAGTTCATTGCATTTTATTGCTGAGAAGTATCCACTGCATGGATGCACCACAGTCTGTAAATGTAAACATTTACTTGTTGATGGATATTTAGATTTGGGGATGCGGGTGGGCACAGAGGTTCTGTATGAAGCTGTCTCCCTCTTTCTCTGTCCTTTCCTTTTCTAAGCCACCCAGCATTATAGTTTATTGTAGCTGGGTCTGTCTTCCCTATTTAACTTAATATTTTTTAAAGGTTTTATTTATTTATTTGAGAGAGAGAAATAGCAAGAGAGAGCACGAACAGGGGGTGGGGAGAGGGAGAAGCAGACTCCCCGCTGAGCAGGGAGCCTGATGTGGGGCTTGATCCCAGGACCCTGGGATCATGACCTGAGCTGAAGGCAGATACCTAATCAACTGAGCCACCCGGGCGCCCCTATTTAACTTAATATTAATAATATTTCATTTCCTTGGGCACTTACATGTGACTGGAAGTGTGCTAAGTACCTGTACTAACTACTTAGTACATCCATCAGCTTATCCAATCATTGCAACAATCCCATGCAGTAGACAATGCCCTGATACCCACTGACAGTGATAAAACTGAGGCCTAAAGAGGCCAAGTTTCTTTTTTAAGTTAACCCATTGGGTGAGTAGTTGAATCAAGATCAGAATCTAGATCTCATGCCATTATTGCAAATTCTTTTTTTTTTTTTTAAGATTTTTATTGACTTATTTGTCAGAGAGAGTGCGCACAAGCAGAGGGAGTGGCAGGCAGAAGGAGAAGCAGGCTCCCCACAGAGCAGGGAGCCTGATGCGGGACTCGATTCTGGGACCCTGGGATCATGACCTGAGCCGAAGGCAGACGCTTAACCAACTGAGCCACCCAGGCGTCCCTCGTTATTGCATATTCTTAACAATTATGCCATAATACTACAGGACTGGTAAATAGTAGGCTCTCACTTTTTAAAAATTTAAATTTAATACTTTCTAAAGAAATACAGCATTCATGACAACAGTTGACCCAAGAAGACACAATTTATTCTTCACTGATAAAACATGCAACCACCCTTGTAAAATGATTTCATATGCACTTTTATTCCAAAAATCCCTTTTATTTTGCTCAAAACTTTGTAAGTCAGAAATCTGGGAGGACTCAGTTGGGTCAGTCCTTGCTTGGGGTCTCTCCTGTGGCTGCAGTCACATGTCAGCTGGGCTCCAGACATATGGGGGCTCTCCTTGGCTGGACAGCCACAATGGCTCATTCACATGGCTGGCAGTCTATGCTAACTGTCAGTGGGAGCCATGCTAGGGCTATCGACCCCAGGGCCAACATGTGGCCTCTCCAGCACAATGGTCTCCTAAGATCCCCTTGTAGGAATAGCTTGCAGGATGTACGATGGTGTTGCAGCCATTTTTGGAAAAGAGAATCTGCCAGAGCCATCTTCTTAAGGCTGCTGAACTTTGGGTCATGTCATTGGGCCCATTGACGGTAAAGACCTTCAACTTCCAAAACTCCTCTTTGGGGTCAATGTCAGAAAATAGGTGGGCTTTACTGGGAAAACTAAACAGGCGGATTTATTTTTACATTTATTTGAAAGTTATTTCACCCACTGTGGGGCCAAGGATTGCGTGTTTTCAGAAACCCAATTAAGTAGTAAATGTACAACTTTGTTGGCCACATAACACCACATGAGTCTCATCAGATATTTAGTCCTGTAAATTATGTCAGCAAGGGGAACTGAAAACATCTCCAAATAAAGTTACTTACGGGCATTAAAAAGTAATTTAATCCAAGCTATAAACACTCACAGTAAGAACTGGCAATTTCATGGCTCTTTGTAAGGTAAGTGTCCCGGTAAACCTGAGGTTGGAAAAGGCACTGCTCCAGGCTTACCTGGCGTTGCGGACGTGCAGCTGGGGGTAATGGCTGTGCCTGTGACATATATGCACGGCAAAGTCCTCGTCATACGTCAGACTTGGAATGTTCCCCACTTGCTCAAACACAGTTATGAGAGTCGAGCCTAAATCATGGAGACATTTCTTTGTCATTTTTACCAAGGAATAACTTTCGTACTACAGAACAAAATGTAACTTCCGTTCTAAGTTGTATTTTAATTGTTATGATCAAACAGGCACGTGATACGTTTAGGACCTGGAGACCATTCTTATTCCCATTCCCCAAAGTGCCATTTTAAGCGTGAGTTTCCTATGTTGGCGACTGGGGACAGGAGGTGGTTGCGTAGACCTTACCTAGGCTCATGTAGGATGGCACTATGAGGAATATGAAGTGCAGTTCTGGCACTGCCTTAAACACGGTCCTGGCAAGGGGAAGAGAGGGCGGGACAGGTGTTAATAGCAAAGAAATCCCATTAGCTGGCACTGCGTGAGACACATGCCTTCACTAAAAACATCAGATGTTCATAAATCCACTTGGGCTCCTCTGCTCCCTGCCTGCAAAGGCAAGAACATCTTCAAGGCAATTTCTTTTCCTTCTCTACATTTCTTTAAATTCCAACCAGCCTCTTTTCTGTCTGTTCCATGGAGGTAGAGAGAAGAAAGAGTGTCATATTCACATGGCACGCCAGATTTCTGCTGACATTAACCTTTGACCCAGCATCTGGATGGTGTGGTGTGACATTACAAAGTGACTTGAAAGCTGAGGCCACCAACCCCAAATGTCTGTGCAGGCTGGCAGAGACACAGCACCATCACCTGGTAGCCTGACTGATCAAATTTCGACACTCCAGATTATTCAGGATGCTTCTGCAGTCTGTCAGGTTAATAAACATTTCTAAAGATAAGATTGAGGAAAACTACTTTTAGAAACATGCAAACTTATGATGCTTTACTCTTCCTCCCCAAATCCATTTTTTTTAAACGACTGCACTACCTGTTTGCCTCAATGATGGTAGTGAAAGATGTGTTGACTCAAAGAAATAGATTGTTTTCTTTCAGAAATATCACTGCTGTTCAACATAGAGGCTTTAATACAGCCCTAAGTTACAAACAAATTAAACACCTCAAAGAATTTCGTGTCCTTTGAAAATATTTTCAAACTAGGCACATAGTCTCTTTCGTGTCATTTTGGCATTAACATGTCTTGTCTACGGTGCTGCTGGCCAGTCCCCTGACATCACTGTCTGCAAGACCCCAGCCACTCACCGAATAATCTCTTTGCAGCAGCCAACGGAATACTCATCCACAGCCACAAAGAGGTGCAGGAACAACGTGTTCAGAGGCTGCACAAGAAAGCAGAACATGATTAAAGGCTGAGGCAGCATTCGGGCCATGTCAGAGCAGGGTGGGAGGTGGGGGGGAGGATTTGGGGGGTGGCCATAGGCTCAGAGCTGCCCGGTTTGGGGGGTGATATTTCATGTCTGTAGTGATGAGACACCCAGGCAGCATTCGAGCTATCTTACTGACTCCATTTGCTGCCTTGTCCTCCGAGCTTAGAATTATTCCAGGAAACAGGGATTGTAAATGAGTCCAATGCATCCAGCCCTTCTTCCTGCCCTCACGAATGGGGCTAGGGGCAGGGAAGTGCCTGCAGGGGAGTGAAATCGATTATTAACTCAGTAGTCTTGTCCTCGGGGGTGTCTATGCCAAGTGAAAGACAATCACCCATTCCCCAGGGCTCTTGAGTCAGCAGCTGCTGTTCTATTCAAGTGACACAAGAGAAAGATTCTCTTATGAATTTGAAGGATGGAAGGCAGATGCCACGTTATGAATCCAATAGCTTGTTTTGTTCAACATTCCCAGAGTCAGAATCAAATATTACTCCTGGGAGCCAGAAAACCTGAGAGCTGGAAACTCAAAGTAGCAAGATTGGAACAGGACTTTAGGTTAAATCTTTCCAGTTTTTAAAGAGCTTTGTCTCCTAACTTCTGAAAACATTTTAAGTGGTCTCAAAAATGAGCAGTTATTTTGTACATCCACACATTGGTCTGCCTAACTCAGTACCCCAGTGTTTATGGGCAAATCTTCAAATTCCAGAGATAATGCAAATGTGAGGTGGTTAACCGGTGAGGGTGGTGCTTGTACCTAGAAATCAGGACAACAAGAGTGCTTTCTGTGTTTCTTGACTTCTGAGCAATTTTATAGACGGCCTTGGGTTACCACCTGCACATTCGTGTGCCTTGGTCTCCCCTCCTGTTGGATAGTGCATGCCTTAGAAATACTCAGAAGGGGTGTTTATCAGACATAAAACGGCAAGAGAAGAATCATGAGTTTGGTTCAGGAGCTTGAAAACTCCCAAAAGGCAAACAATACAAACCCTACAGTCCAGATAGCAATAGCCACAGCACCACTGTGAGCGCTTTCCATGTGTTACCTGCTGATCCCACAACCACCTTACTTAACATCTGCTGTACATTCTCAACAGGACTAGTCTTAGGAGTACACAGATTATTATTTGGCTGATTTATCTTCCAAATTCTCTCTTCCATCAAAAATACTACAATTCAAGGTTTATTCTTTAGCTTTAAGATAAAAAGCATTACTTCAGTTGCAAATACCCCTGGGATAAGTAATACATTAAGCCTTAAGGCTTTATACCAATGCTGCCAATAACAAAATAACTTGAGCCACAAATACAAGCAGGATATGTAATTTTCTAGTAGACATAAAAAAAGAATAAAGATAAACACATAAAATTAATTTTCAATATATTTTATTTAACCTAACATACTTAAATATCATTTTGACAAGTAAAATAAAAATTGTGAGATATTTTACACTCTTTTTTCCTACTAAATATTTGAAATTAAGTGTATATTTTACACTTAACAGCACATCGTAATTCAGACTAGCACATGTCAAGTACTCAATAGCTACATATAGCTGATGGCCACCATACTGGATAGCTGAGCTCTATACTGCCGAAGGAGTTTAAAAGTAGTTCAAAGAGAAACAATCTTAAGAGAACAAGCAAAGAAACAAAAGGGGAATGAATTTATGAATAAGGGTGTTAATTTATGATGTTTGATAAGGTAATATCATGACCCTAATGCAAACATCAAATAAGCGCATGTCAGAGATTTATTTAACCCATCAATTAAGGAGGTGATCAGTGGGATGATAAAAACAATTTGCTGCACTTGAGGAGCTGGCTACTTTAGGTATTTTAATGAGGGAATGTTAGAATAAGATTGCTAGGCTAGATACAAAATAGTTAATGTCCTACAAGGCCATAAACCATGAATTCTGAGGTGATCTCTTCCACCAGACAGAAATTATTCACATCTCCAATGGACAAAAATCAAAGTTAATCACTGTTCCTGTAGAACTGTACAATAGCCTGGTGAATAGAAAATCTATCAGAGATACAAGCATTGGACTGAAAGCATCTTTTTGGCCTATTTCCAAGTTTGAGATAATTTTTCTGAAAATGTAACTGGGTGTATAGAGTAGCGAGGAAAAGGAGAAGCAAAGGACAAGGGGAAGACATTACTTAGTTGAATAAATGCTAGATGATGTGTTGGGGTGCACATGGGCATGTATGTGTGTGCACATACACGTGTATACGGGGAGGTGAACTCACTCATTCACGCAATTGGCATTCCCTAGGGATCTGGGGACACACTCTTGAATTCCACTGACAGGCAAGCATGCAACCCACAATCATGGCCTTAGCTCTCCACAGAACTGGGGCCATATGCAGGCCTGGCTCTAGCAGGCTGAGGGCAGAGAAAGCTCAGACTCAGCACCAGCTACCAAGTCAGGTTGCCAACAGGTTGTAATGTGCCCACATTTGATGAAGACATCAAATGAGCCAGAGTCCACAAGGGCACCTCGAAAATTACAGAGTGCAACAGGAATCTGAGGCTCTATTATCACTGTTATGGGAGCAAAGGTATAAAGGCAGTTGCCCTCCCAACATATCAAAGACTTCAGACACTGAGCCTAAGTGTCCATTGATGGATGGATAAAGAAGATGTGGTATACATACATACATACATACACACACACACACACACACACACACGCACATATATACACATACAATGGAATATTACTCGGCCATAAAAAATGAGATCTTGCCATTTTTGACAAGATAGATGGACCTAGAAGGTATTACGCTAAGTGAAATAAGTCAGGCAGAGAAAGACTAATACCAAATGATTTCACTCATATGTAGAATCTAAAACACAAATGAACAAACAAACAAAAAAAGCCAGAAACAGACCCATAAATACAGAGAACAAACTGGTGGTTGCTAGAAGGCGGGGGGATAGGCAAAATGAGTGAAAGAGAGTGGGAAGTGCAGTTCCAGTTATGGACTGAATAAGTCACAGGGATGAAAGGTACAGCATAGGGAATATAGTCAATGGCATTGCATTGTATAGTGACAGGTGGTAGCTACACTTGGGGTGAGCATAGCATAACATATAGAGCTGTCCAATCACTGTTGTACACCTCAAACTAAGGTAACATTGTGTGTCAACTATACTTCAATAAAAAAAAGACTTTGGGCACTGATGCTGGGGACACAGCGTGAAGACCTGAGAAGCACACATCTGGGCTCCCACTAGTCCTCCCAGTAGAGGTGACCAAGGCCTTGCCACCAGCTGACTGATCTGGCTATTACCTTCCTTTCTGCATCCTCTCTGGCCTCTTGCTCTTAGACACCTTTCTTCCTCGCTAGCTAACTTTGTTTCTAACTGTCATGATGTCACTTTCTGTCGTGAGTTTGGAACTGCTCAGTCTCAAAACTGGAAAGACATGTGCAAACACAGGGCTTCCCTTCAAAATTAAGGCTGTTCTAATAAGAACTGTGTGTAATTGCTTACTGTGCATGGGATTTCACTGTCAAGCTCCCGGAACACAGATACCCAGTTGTCCTGATTGGAGACATTCCAGTTGGGATAGTCCACGAAGGTAGCCTGGGCCATGATCGCCTCCTTGTCATTGCAGAGGGTAACAGCAAGGTTTGCCTTTTCCCTGCAGAAATGATTAAAACCGCACACATGACTAAGATTACCAAAAGGGAGATGATGAGGTTTATTTTTTTTTCCCCTCCTTCAGCTACTGAAGCCTAGCAACCACTGCATAAGGTATGAAACCTTTGGAAGAGGTGGGAAAAATGTGGCAGCAACTTTGAGAGCACATCTTTCAGGACATCTGGGGCTACCAACTAAATTTTTATTGAAAATTACATTTTGGGGGTGCCTGAGTGGCTCAGTCAGTTAAGCGTCTGCCTTCAGCTCAAGTCATGATCCCGGGGTCCTGGGATCGAGCCCCGCATCGGGCTCCC